GTACCTGGTAGGTTCGTTGATAATTTGCGTGAGGTTGAGGGCATCTAGCTTGGATTGTAGGATGGCTGGGGTATTAAGCATATCCCAATTTAGGTCACCAAGCAGTACAAACTCTGAGGATAAATGGGGGGCAATCAATTCACATATGGTGTCCAGGGCACAGCTGGGGGCTGAGGGGGGTCTGTAGCAAGCGGCAACAGTGAGAGACTTATTTCTGGAAAGGTGGATTTTTAGAAGTAGAAGCTCAAACTGTTTGGGCACAGACCTGGATAGTATGATAGAGCTCTGCAGGCTATCTCTACAGTAGATTGCAACTCCACCCCCTTTGGCAGTTCTATCTAGACGGAAAATGTTATAGTTGGGGATGGAAATTTCAGAATTTTTGGTGGCCTTCCTGAGCCAGGATTCAGACACTGCTAGAACATCAGGGTTGGCAGAGTGTGCTAACGCAGTGAATAACTCAAACTTAGGAAGTAGACTTCTGATATTTATGTGCAAGAAACCAAGACTTTTGCGATTACAGAAGTCATCAAATGATAGCGCCTGGGGAGTAGGAGTGATACTGAGGGCTGCAGGGCCTGGGTTAGCCTCTACATCACCAGAGGAACAGAGGAGGACTAGAATAAGGATACGGCTAAAGGCTTTAAGAACTGGTCTTCTAGTGCGTTGGGTACATAGAATAAAGGGGGCAGATTTCCGGGTGTTATAGAAAAGATTCAGGGCATTATGTACAGACAAGGATATGGAAGGATATTGTAAAACAATGTTAGAGGTGGCTTATGGTAGAGAAATGAACATTAAATGATCTGGTTACAGCTCTGGTGGACATTCCCGCCGTCACTATGCCAATTGCACGCTCCCTCAAAACTTGAGACATCTGTGGCATTGTGTTGTGTGACAAAACTGCACATTTTAGAGTGGCCTTTTATTGTCTCCTGCACAAGGTGACCTGTGTAATGATCATGCTGTTTAATCAGCTTCTTGATATGCCACACTTGTCAGGTGGATGGATTATCTTGGCAAAGGAGAACTGCTCACCAACAGGGATGCAAACAAATTTATGCACAACATTTGTGAAAAATATTTCTGGGATTTTATATTTCAGCTCATGAAACATGGGACAAACACTTTACATGTTGCGTTTATATTTTTGTTCAGTATATATTATTATCATCACATACAGTGGGGAAAAAAAGTATTTAGTCAGCCACCAATTGTGCAAGTTCTCCCACTTAAAAAGATGAGAGAGGCCTGTAATTTTCATCATAGGTACACGTCAACTATGACAGACAAAATGAGAAAGAAAATCCTGAAAATCTCATTGTAGGATTTTTAATGAATTTATTTGCAAATTATGGTGGAAAATAAGTATTTGGTCAATAACAAAAGTTTCTCAATACTTTGTTATATACCCTTTGTTGGCAATGACACAGGTCAAACGTTTTCTGTAAGTCTTCACAAGGTTTTCACATACTGTTGCTGGTATTTTGGCCCATTCCTCCATGCAGATCTCCTCTAGAGCAGTGATGTTTTGGGGCTGTCGCTGGGCAACACAGACTTTCAACTCCCTCCAAAGATTTTCTATGGGGTTGAGATCTGGAGACTGGCTAGGCCACTCCAGTACCTTGAAATGCTTCTTACGAAGCCACTCCTTCGTTGCCCGGGCGGTGTGTTTGGGATCATTGTCATGCTGAAAGACCCAGCCACGTTTCATCTTCAATGCCCTTGCTGATGGAAGGAGGTTTTCACTCAAAATCTCACGATACATGGCCCCATTCATTCTTTCCTTTACACGGATCAGTCGTCCTGGTCCCTTTGCAGAAAAACAGCCCCAAAGCATGATGTTTCCACCCCCATGCTTCACAGTAGGTATGGTGTTCTTTGGATGCAACTCAGCATTCTTTGTCCTCCAAACACGATGAGTTGAGTTTTAACCAAAAAGTTCTATTTTGGTTTCATCTGACCATATGACATTCTCCCAATCCTCTTCTGGATCATCCAAATGCACTCTAGCAAACATCAGACGGGCCTGGACATGTACTGGCTTAAGCAGGGGGACACGTCTGGCACTGCAGTATTTGAGTCCCTGCCTGCGTAGTGTGTTACTGATGGTAGGCTTTGTTACTTTGGTCCCAGCTCTCTGCAGGTCATTCACTAGGTCCCCCCGTGTGGTTCTGGGATTTTTGCTCACCGTTCTTGTGATCATTTTGACCCCATGGGGTGAGATCTTGCGTGGAGCCCCAGATCGAGGGAGATTATCAGTGGTCTTGTATGTCTTCCATTTCCTAATAATTGCTCCCACAGTTGATTTCTTCAAACCAAGCTGCTTACCTATTGCAGATTCAGTCTTCCCAGCCTGGTGCAGGTCTACAATTTTGTTTCTGGTGTCCTTGACAGCTCTTTGGTCTTGGCCATAGTGGAGTGTGACTGTTTGAGGTTGTGAACAGGTGTCTTTTATACTGATAACAAGTTCAAACAGGTGCCATTAATACAGGTAATGAGTGGAGGACAGAGGAGCCTCTTAAAGAAGAAGTTACAGGTGTGTGAGAGACAGAAATCTTGCTTGTTTGTAGGTGACCAAATACTTATTTTCCACCATAATTTGCAAATAAATTCATAAAAAATCCTACAATGTGATTTTCTGGATTTTTTTTCTCAATTTGTCTTTCATAGTTGACGTGTACCTATGATGAAAATTACAGACCTCTCTCATCTTTTTAAGTGGGAGAACTTGCACAATTGGTGGCTGACTAAATACTTTTTTTCCCCACTGTAATTTTGTAGGATTATTCAAGGCTCTACCAGGTTCTTCAACATTAAGGGGGGTATCCCGGACACGGATTAAGTTTAGACCTGGGCTAAAAAGCTATTTCGATGGAGATTCTTCATTAACAATGCTTTTTAGCCCAGGACTAGGCATAATCCAGACCTGCCAACCTTGAATAATTTTTATGATTACAACTTCAGCGCAGCGACAGCCCTGGTCCCCCATGATGAAGCTTGTGCGACACCCACAATGCTCAAATCATAGGCAAATGCACCTTTTTTTTGCCTAATAATGATGTTGGCAGAAGGCTGCCTCAGCAGGAATGGTAGGCTATAGACTGTTATGGGTACTTGTTTATTGGCTGCTCTTCAGTACCTAACTAGAAATACGTTTAAATGTACAATCAGGGCTCTCCCTAGGATTTTCTGACAAGGTGGTGCTGATGTAGTCCTAATGATGGGTAGGAGGGAGGTCCGGAGGGGGTCAGTAAACTTCCCCCTCAGGAAGTTGGAGCATTTAGCATTTTTGAAAATCCTGTAACTGCCATTTCGTGAAACCTAGAGTCTTAAATGATATCAAACAATGTAGCCAACACAGAAGTCTTGTGTTTGATCCTAAGTGAAATTGGGGTGGTCTCAATGACACTTCCTAGGTTAAATATAGGGTTAATGATTATTGTAATGAATGTGTCTTTATGTGGATAGTCTAGTTAAAGTGTAACCTGGCTTCTTAATTTTGTTTGGGAAGAAAATTCTGAATAATTAAATTACTGGATGCAATGTATTAGTCTAGCTTACTGTAGGCTATTTGGAATATGAAAGAACTGAACTAGACCTATCTGAGCTTGTTTCAGATCTCCATCCCTGACCTAATCCATCAAGTTAAGTCTGACTACTAGGCTACCATTCATTCAACATGCCTTGTTGTTATTGGTGAACTGACTTATCACATCATTAGCAGCCTACTGTTGATATACAGCTATATTAAGAGGACAGATCAATAACTGATTAATTAACATTGGCCTACTAAATCTTTCACAGTCTTTAATAATAGTAACATAACTTTCTGTGAAGGACGGTATTAGCAGAACATAACTTTCTGCCATGTCCGGTTCCATCCACGCCGTAGCAAACTACCTTCGTCGTAATGACGCCTTAGATAAAACGCCGACTAAAACATAACCATCATTATGTGCTTGACTAACACATAACATTTTGGAAAATGTAATTGGCAAACAGTTAGTTCTTCATTTTCCCTACCCTTTTCCCTCACACATCAGTGGTATGAACGGACAAAGTGGAGAGCTGCCATCCAGCTCGAGGGAGGAAAACAGTACATGGGCAGGCCCTGAGCTAGAGATTTTTCCTACTCGCCCAAGCTCTCTGTTTGACTCAGCTCCATCTTCCGACGGTTGAGTCAAAAACTACAATGTGTCAACAAAAATATTATTTTTGCGTATTTTAGGGTAGTGTTTCATACCAGCGTACTTTGACACCAAATTACGTGCATGGTACGCAAAAGGCGTGCAAGTTGGCAGGTCTGCATAATCTGTGTCCAGGAAATTGGCCCTAAATGACAATATGTGGACAACAATCTATTAAATTTTTTACATACAAGTAACTGCCAAAATAAAGGAAACACCAACATAAAGTGTCTTAATAGGGCGTAAGGCCACCACGAGCTAGAACAGAATATATTCTAGACGTATCTGGAACTGTATTGGAGGGATGTGACACCATTCTTCCACAAGAAATTCCATCATTTGGTGTTTTGTTGATGGTGGAAAACACTGTCTCAGGCGCTGCTCCAGAATCTCCCATATGTGTTCAATTGGGTTGAGATCTGGTGACTGAGACGGCCATGGCATATGGTTTACATCATTTTCATGCTCATCAAACATTCAATGACCACTCATGCCCTGTGGATAGGGGCATTGTTATCCTATTGGGGCATAGCCATGGTAGCCAAAATAATGGCCTGCCCAACATTTTTATACAGACCCTAAGCATGATGGGATGTTAATTGCTTTATTAAATGTACACTATTGTTGTACCACACCAAATTTAGACTATTTGGGCTATGACACAAGTCAAAGTAAATTGTGATCAACATCTGATATTAATATCATGCTAACTGTTTTGTTATGTGGTCAAACATCAATGAATAATGCATATTAACAGATAACACTTGCCAACACACGTGCACACACACACAGGTTGGGAATTGCTCTCACCTGGAGTTCGACGGCTCTTTTGTTGGCGATGTCGGCCTTGTTCCCGGCCAGAGCGATGACGATGTTGGGGCTGGCTTGTCTCTGCAGCTCCTTCACCCAGTTCTTTGCTCGCGTAAAAGTGTCCTGGTGAAACACGCAAAGGCACAGAATGTATAATTTACATTAAGGTTATGCTAGGGTAAGAGAGCTGAAATAAGCTCATAAGGCATTGAGAAGTGATATTCTTGAAGGATCAAAACTATTGGTTTCACTGGTCTTTCAATTCAATTGGGCGGCCCGCCTACACAGTGGTAGATAAAGAGCCTTTACGCACTGTGTTGGTGATGTCGTAGACCACAATGGCCGCTTGGGCTCCCCTGTAGTACATGGGCGCCAGACTGTGGTATCGCTCCTGGCCTGCTGTGTCCCAAATCTCAAACTTGACCGTTGTGTCATCCAGGCAGACAGTCTGTGTGAGGAAGGCAGCTGGAAAAGAGCAAGATGGAGGAAGGGAGGGAAAAAAAAGAAGAGGTAGAGGATATGTCAGTGGAGGAAACAGGGCTGTATTCATGAACGTTTGGAAATGTCTTATATAGAGCTGACATTATTAACAGAGGGGCAATTACATTGCACCCCATTGAGTGTGCCTCAATGCAGCGTTCACAGGTCAATCTCTCCCACTCCATTTAATGTCAACATCTGTTTAGCCATTTCTGTCACTTGAGAACCTATCCAGTGTAGAGACAAAGCTTTCAAAGTTGCAGTTCCTCAATTTGCTCTAGGCAGAGGCCTACCAACTGACTACACACACGCTCGTACACAACCGTTAAAAATGGCACAGACGTTAGAACAGTATCAAAGTGACTTGCATTGATAGTCTACATAGAGACTAAGAGGTGGAACCAAAAATGGATACTACCAACAATAAAAGGTACTTTCTAATATGCTCATAATGTTATGCAAGGCGATTTGAGAAAAATTAAAGTTTGGGTCTCATTTCATTTGTGCTTTTTAACGGAGGCCTTCCAAACAGGTTGTAGGTTTAACTTCCTAACGAGCACAGCACTGCTGCTTCTAAGGATCAGAGCCATGGAGAAAATGCTAATCCCATGTCTGTAGGCTGCAAACATTTACCTGGGCTCTCTGAGAAGTCCACAATCACATGACAGCACAGAGTCCATGGCCTCATTCCAATTCATTGACGTCTTTCCTTCCTACCTCCATTTATTGAGCCTAATCACTGACATGACTGGGTCGGTGAAAGCTATTAAAATCAGTGATTACCACTAGGAGGGAAGGAGAAAGCATTTTTTTGAACAGAGCCCTGTCGTGACGTGACTTTCATTAATATGATGACTGTTATTTAAGCTGATCTGAGGCCTTTGATCCTCACCCAGGAGAGTCATGACAGCCCATTTCTCCAGCGGTAAAGAGGTCCCATGAGACATGGCACCCTTTGAATCCTTTAACACTTCTTCCATTGCGGGTCATTTCCTGTGCCCTCTATTGTACTCTGTTGACTGGAGCTCACTATTGTACAATAGGCTAATAATAGGCAGAGACTCTGTTCTACAGTATTTCATTTATTGAGACGTTAATGAAATCCCCAGCGCTGTAGCATCATACGCTACATTGACTTGCTAGGGGCATACCTTGTGTTGACTACAAAAGCCACACCAACATGCAATGCCTTTCAGTGACCCCTCTTTCCACTTGTATTAAAAACAACTACCGGTAATCCCCATAGAAAGAAATCAACCTCCATTGTTAACATGCTTTGATTTTAACAGCCATGATATGGTGATGCCATTCTAGCAATGAGAGCTAGTAAAGCCAACTATCACAGATATAAAAAGACCACTTGATGGAATAGGGAAACCTGCAGTGGGTCACAACCAACCACCTGCACAAACAATGTTTTTCAAAAAGACTGAATAACTCACCTCCGATGGTGCTCTCTTGGTACTCCTGAAACTGTCCCTTGACAAACCGCAGCACCAGGCTGGACTTGCCCACCGCCGATTCTCCCAGCAGCACCAGCTTGAACTGGCAGATCTTGTTGCCTGCCGCCGGGCTGTTGGGTCGTGCCGGTGCTCCACGACCCGCCATGGAGCTGTGCAGATGCTATCCTGAATAAAAGGGCCTGGGCTGGGCCACGCCGAGAGGCAGCAGGGGGGGTCTGGAGCAGCAGTGGAATTCCGATACGTGGGGGCAGCTGATTGGAGCCGGGAAACAGTTGAAGTAAAGTGAAGAAGTGCAGCAACTGGGAGGCTGGCGTGGAGAAAAAATATATAAATGATTATTGACAAGAAGTAGTCGCATAAAAAAATACCACAGTTGGTCTGGCTGGAAAGTCCCTGCAGGTATAGATGAAAGTGGAAGTTAGGCTAACCACACTGATCCAGGTGTGAGATCAGTCTTACTATTGGTTTGACATTGGCCGCCTTATCTTCCTGGCATGATAAGAGTGTCAATATTGATAACTCAATGGCTCGGTTTTAGAGGCCCTCCTCTTGGCCGCAGAGATGAAATGTTGCTGTTTTAAAGCGAATTTCCTGCAATTCTACACATTTTGCCATGGCCTATGCCTTGTTCTTATGCTATCGGAGTGACTCAAACATAACAAAATCAACGAGGGCCCCATGCCATGCCATTTTTTAAATTTTGGATTCTTCCTGAATGTCTCGTTTTTATTTTGGTGATTGTTAGTTGTCAAAGGTGATCTTTAAAAAAGATATATTGCACCATTATCTTTTCTACATACTTTATATCTGGTTTTAGTCGTTTAAGTTCACACTAAGTTATCTACCTAACTTAGATGACAAAACACTGCATTCAATTTGTTTTCAGTTTGGATATTGGTTTGATATTCAGAGTTTTCTCGTCAATACCACTTCAACGTAAGGTCCTAGGATGATTAGAGTGATATAACTAGAATCAGATGACGATAGAGAGCAAGGTACAGCCTTTGTTTTCTCCCTTCTGTTCTGTTTTCAAAAAGTGACTATGTTGGTTTCAATGGGGGAACATTATGCACTAAGGGACCATCTTAAAAAGGGCAATCAACAGAACCTGGTGTTTACAGAAAAACTTATTTTTGTCTTAATTAAATGATCTAGAGATCATAAAGCAACTTTTTTTCCTCACAACATTTACATTTAAAAAATGGATTGTGTTTATTTTTCATGGATTCTATGTAAATATACAAGCTCATAAAAAATAAATAGGCCTATGATCTCTCTCACAATATTTGCAACCTACGGTAGCATACTTGCATGACCTACAGAGCCAAAATCCCTAATCCATGATACATTCATTAGAATTCCCATTTTAAAATTCCCTGATTATAAATGAATATTTCCAGTAATAATTATAATTTTTGATGGCTTCCAAACCACAAGTTCCAACAGATCTACAGACAAGTGCTGTGTGTTCCCTGACCTCTATTATCAAGCAAATCACTTTTTCAAAATTCCTCCCCTTTGATATTTTTCCTGTTACAGCTGTGGTTATTCATTTAAATACAGATTAAATGTTCAAGAGCTTCAAGTCCAAATTACATATACATCTAAAACCACTCGATGTTAGGTCACTGACCTCTCTCTTCCATAGTACACTCATTAGAAATAACATTTTTCATTTAACTGATTAACATGAATATTTCCTGTGATAGGTCTAATTTTAAATAGCTCACTGTACATATGAGCTATATATCTACAGACCCGTGTGGTGGGTTCCTTGACCTCTCTTATGAAAGATACACTTTTTATTTGTTCAATATTACTCCCCTTTGATTTTCTACAAATATTTCTGCAATTACAGCTGTGGTTATTAATTCACGTACAGATCTTTTAATTTCCTTGGCTTCCAGTCCAAATGACATATTCATCTAAAACCGCTTGATGTTAGGTCACTGACCTCCCTCCTCCATAGTACACCCATTAGAAATGCCATTTGGATTGTTCCACCTCAAAAAGCACAAGAAAAAGAGGTTGACACCCACCATCTTAGATGGTGGCCTCTGGTACATTCTAATGCTAGATTGAATTTTGAACCAGCAACTATCAGAAAATAACAACTTTTTTCACACTTCCACAGTCTTGGTTTCATTAGCTGTTGTACAATATGATAACACACAGGAGAAACTAAATTTTGACTGCACTGGGCCTTTAAATAATCCTGTAAGAGTCTGCTGACTTCCACAGGCTTCAAGCTTCCTATTAACAGGCATTTTCTCAGTTAGCTGCAATACAGGTATGATTAAAGAATGAAGAGAGAATATAATATAATAATATAATAATAATATGCCATTTAGCAGACGCTTTTATCCAAAGCGACTTAGTCATTTTTTTTGTGTATGGGTGGTCCCGGGGATCGAACCCACTACCTTGGCGTTACAAGCGCCGTGCTCTACCAGCTGAGCTACAGAGGACCACATATCGAGAACATGGGCTTTGCTACACAGAAAGCAGCAGTTGACTACTCCATTGTCAACACTTTGATTAAATCAATATCTTTGAAAAAAACACAAGTATCAATAGCTTTTAAAATAATTCAATCTGTTTTCTTTTATCATACTTTGTACCAGAGTGAGGCTATCGCTCCACATTGTTCCTGCAGTGAGGAGGATTCACAAACGAGATCTTTAGTTCACTTGTCTGGATGCGATACCGTGGACATATAGGCTAACTACGTTATGATTTATGAATGGCAAGGATATGAGATCGACTTTATTCAGTTAGTTCGACACCTTTTATAAACTAGTCAAGCTTTCTGTTCGTCAATCAAAGCACAGTAAATAGCCTATCCGCCACCACTCCGTGGCTGCATAGAAAACATGCCAGGGTCCAATGTTAACTTTTTTTCCTCACTGGCCTAGTCAGGCCAGTTGGCCAAAAATCTACTTGCCCGAACAGAATTTCTACTGGCCCAAACATGGTATAGTTCTTAAACGGAATGGGGTCATGCAGGGCCTATAGGTTGGCATGCATTATCTCTATATTCAGCAATGAATAGGCTACATTTGATTATTATGATATGTATTAAAAAGCTGTGTAATATAATTTAGCAATGCAAATCATTACTCCATTCTTTAGAATTCCATTGTATTAATTGCATACATTTTTGTTTCTAAAGTATGACATTCTGAGAAGATTTGAAAATAGGACACTGCCGCTTGAAGACAAACGTTCCAAAAGAGAGATCGACATGGCTACAGTAATCTAGCCAAAACGAATGCTAGGTGTCTTTTTGTTGCATTCTTTTTGGAAGATTATCAACAGTAGCCAGCATATTGCTAGTATGTTCACTATTGAAAGTTTACTTTAAACACTTTCCCTAAAATAAATAAGTTCAGCAAGTAGATTGATGGGCGCTTATTTTTGCTCTGGACAGCTCGCGTTTATTTCGGAGCCTGCACACGAAATAAAATAAATGAATATGCCAGAAAACAATAGGCTTAGTGGATTTCGACTCATCAACACCACATTAAATGGGACGTTCAAATTCATGCTCTCTCCTTCCGTGTAGAAATGTTACTGCAACCAAAGCGCACACACCCAGGTACTGAGAGGCGGGACCGACAGCAGACTGTCAAACCAGCAGTGTTTCCCTGTCATTGCTCACTTTATGAAATACAATTTATGAGACTGTCAAGAAGCATTATGACCATCATAATAATATACAGTGCATTCGGAAAGTATTCAGATCCCTTACAGCCTTATTCTAAAATGGATACAAATATATATCATTCTCAATCTACATACAAATGCCCATAATTACAAAGCGAAAACAGGTTTTTAGACATTTTTGCACATTTATATAAAAACCAACAACTGAAATATCACATTTACATAAGTATTCAGACCCTTTACTCAGTACTTTGTTAAAGCACCTTTGGCAGCGATTACAGCCTCAAGTCTTCTTGGGTATGATGCTACAAGCTCGGCACAACTGTACCCCCCCCCCTCCAAAAAAAAAATAAATAATAATAATAATTGTAAAGTGGTTATCCCACTGGCTATTAGGTGAATGCACCAATTTGGAAGTCGCTCTGGATAAGAGCGTCTGCTAAATGACGTAAATGTAAATGTATTTGGGGAGTTTCTCCCATTCTTCTCTGCGGATCCTCTCAAGCTCTGTCAGGTTGGATGGGGAGCGTCGCTGCACAGCTATTTTCAGGTCTCTCCAGAGATGTTAGATCGGGTTCAAGTCTGGGCTCTGGCTGGGCCACTCAAGGACATTCAGAGGCTTGTCCAAAAGCCACTCCTGCGTTGTCTTGGCTGTGTGCTTAGTGTCGTTGTCCTGTTGAAAGGTGAACCTTCGCCCCCAGTCTGAGGTCCTGAGCGCTCTGCAGCAGATTTTCATCAAGGATCTCTCTGTACTTTGCTCCATTCATCTTTCCCTCGATCCTGACCAGGCTCCCAGTCCCTGCCGCTGAAAAACATGCACAGAAAAACAGGTTTCCTCCAGACGTGACGCTTGGCATTCACGCCAAAGACTTCAATCTTGGTTTCCTCAGACCAGACATTCTTGTTTCTCATGGTCTGAGTCCTTTAGGTGCCTTTTGGCAAACTCCAAGCAGGCTGTCATGTGCCTTTTACTGAGGAGTGGCTTCCGTCTGGCTCCTCTGCCATTAAGGCCTGATTGGTGGAGTGCTGCAGTGATGGTTGTCCTTCTGGAAGGTTCTCCCATCTCCACAGAGGAACTCTGGTTTTTATTTTTAATAAATTTGCTAACATTTCTAAAAACCTGTTTTCGCTTTGTCATTATGGGGTACTGTGTGTTGACTGATGAGGGAAAAAAAAACTATCTAATACATTTTTTGAAAAGGCTGTAACAAAATGTGGAAAAAGTCAAGGGGTCTGAATACTTTCCGAATGCACTGTAAGCCAGATATGCCTATCACATACATGCTCTTATATCAGTCATCAGTCTTGTCCTGCTCCTGAAATCTGCTCCTGCATTCATCCCAGTCAACAGCAACATAGCATTGGGGTAGGTGCATCAATGTGTGCGCAATTACAATGATATAATTTAATATGGTCAATTTAAAAATATATATTTAACAAACATACTGTTGACACGTAGGCTATGGTGTACTGGAATGT